TGAATAATAATATCACGTACCATTTAACTTAATTTCGCAATACATGTGCGTGTCAATTAATTTAATTGAGCCATAGGCTTAATTAATTAACATTTCGCTATTCGTTATAAAAAGATGATTTTTGTTTTACGCTTCGTGAATTCACATTGGGCAAAAAAATTGCGTGGTATAATCAAAGAAAACCGATTTATCTTAGCTTGTCATAGCATAAAATTGATGGAGGTATATAATTGCTAATTATTGCTTTAGACTTTGTTTAACTGTATTTACCAATAGTTTTTGTTTATCATCCCTTTCTAATATATTTCCCATTACTCGTTTTCTGATTATTCAACAAAAGTAAAGGCTTAAAACTACAAAGAATACACTTTTATTATGTTAAAAAGCAATTGCCTGTTAATGCTTTATAAAGCAGCATTTTATGATAAAGATAACTACTTCTCATTTTACAATAATGAAACGATAAATAAGCTATGTTTACTTTTATAATAAATTTCATGCTAAACTTAGTTCAATTTTGCAAATACAGTTAAAATAAGGAATACAAAATAACTATTTAAAACAAAGAAATATTAAGATATAACTTTTCACATTATTGCTGAAAAAAAGTCCCATATTTAAAATTCGACTTTTCATGAACTATTCAAGCGATTTTGCTCAAATTTTGTATTTTCCCGTGTAAAATTACTTGCTTTAAAATGACGTAAGAAACTGTAAATTTTTTTCTATACAATTCAAATTTTTTTGACTATTAATAAACAAAATAATAAATATTTACTAAAATTTATTTTTTGCTTTGGATAAACGAATTTTTTAACTGTGTGCAAAACTTAAAAAATTCCCGACATACAGCAAAATAAGCAAAAAGTAAAATTAATATTAAGGGGTCCAAACTTTTGATCGCCCTTCTGACCAAACTATGAGCTGACTATACTCCCAAAATTGGGGCTATCTTATGGGGATCAAAAATCCGAATCCCTTGAAAAAAGGTATGCTTATTTAAAAAAGAAGTACTCTCTTTTGTCTGATTTCATAACTTAAAACATTGTTTACACTAATTAATTAGCATATATGAGAACACTCCCTTGATTAAGATTGAGTCCTAAAACGTGAAGATCCGATCATTGTATCAAAAGTTATTCAGGGTGGTCCAATTTTGGCGCACTGTATATAACTAAATCAGTTATAATACAATATTTATTGTATCAGATTTATAGTTTGCATATTTTAGTGTTACATAAAATATTGATCAGTAATTTTTAAAGCAGGGCTACAGGAGTTTGAGGTTAATCATGATATTATCACCACTGTTCTGATATTTCCATTGTTCTAAAATTGAGTCAAGTTTATTACCGTTAAAAGGCTTTTTTCTACGATCTCAAAATAATGTTCATTTAAAATTTATTTCCTAAGGAAGAGGATGTAATTTGTTGCATTCCCAATATCCTAGTTATTAGCAATAACTCAAGCACAATTCTAATTTTCTCACGAGCATAATTGTCCCAATTTTCAGCGATTTCTCAAACACAGCTCCGGGATGTAAAGATACGCTAATAAAATTCATTAGGGCAGTATGGTCAATTCCGATTTTCTTTTATTCGTTTTTTTAATATGCTATTTAAACGCTTTTTTTACTACGGTTCAGTAGACGCAATTTTTTTAGGTTTAATTATAGAAATCAATACTACTAGCAACACTTTTTTTTTGCAAATTTCTTACAAAGTATCTTCCTATAAATTGAGCGAGATTATCTTTGATTAATAGACTGCAACAGTGAGACGGCAAGGATGACAATTGAAACATGAAAATTACTTTGATGGTAGTTCAAATCATGTGATTTAATAGCTGCTAATTGCTAATCATCTGATCAATCTCTTAACCTAATTTAGTTTATAATCTTATTTCATAATGGGAGATTTCGGTGAGAAAAATGTAGGAAGATGCTCAATGACACGATTAATATAGCTAATAAAGTGATAAACAAAATGAAAGTGTCTGTAAAAATTACTTAAATAAAAGTGTGAATAGGCGTTATTTAGGATGAGTTGATTATAGGGGTTGTAATAACGCCACATAACCACGTAATTACTATATATAATGTGCGAAAATTTTCTCTTTTTAGTAAAAAATTAAACTTTAAACAGGGTGCGTAGCCAAATTATTCAACAAAAAATAAGCACCTTTTAAGCATTCAAAAAATATTTTTAAGTACTTGAAAAAAAAATCATAATTAGGCAGGGTTAGAAAGTTTCTGACAATTGATGTTTTTATCTGGTTTTAACTGTCATGCAAAAAAAAAAAAAAAAAAAACCTTTTGGCATTGTTAACATTTTTGAATCACGTAAATCGAATGGCGTTTTCATACGCTACGGAGTGACGATGCACCGAAATAGATTGGGGTTGAATTAATTGTGAAAACGTTGAATAGAACAATGTGAACTGTGTCTTTTTGCATAATTCGTAGCGGAAATCAAAATGGTAAGGGAAAAATCTCAATTTGGAAAAGGGAAAATTAAGCACCTTTAAGAGCTTTTAAAAAGCGAAAATCAAAAATAAGCACCTTTAAGCACTTTTTAAAAACGCTACGCCCCTGTAAAATATAAAAAAAAATGAGCTTCGATAAACCAAGAGCAAATCATTAAATTATTTCATAACTAAAAAAAAAAAATCAAAATGCAAACAAATTAAAGCAGGTTTACTTCCTTACTGTATAATCTTGAGTAATCCTGCCATAATTACTTTTCATTTAAATATTTGAAAAATTACTGCAATAATTGTAGCTCTATGGTTTAATCTTGGATAATCTAAACTCATTTTTTCTATACTTGGAATTACTAATATAACATTTAATAACTAATTTAATGTAGTTGAAAAAAATTTGCCACGAAGGGCTACTACTCCCGCTCTATAATGCTCTCTTAAGGTTTCACGAATTCTTAACCAACGTGGTCAGATGTATTAAATCAGTCGCGGCCTTTCGTGTACCCATCCATATGAAGCTGGGTGGACTTCAAGCCGCTAATGGTGATCGAACACCACTCCTTCACAATGACTTTAAATATCAAGTCAACACTGCACACACGTAATTTACATTGAACACCTTTTCCGAAACGCACGCTGAATTTGAGCTTACAATTTACATTGAATAAAAGAAGAAAATATTTTAAAATGTGAGCAAGCTACCCTACTTTTGAGAAAACACATTCGATTTGTTTTAAATTATCACATACAAATTGTGCTTGAGAGCCTCCATTGTCGAATATTTTTAATTTATTTAGTTAAAAAACAATTTTAAATTTATTTAGTTCAAAAACAATTTTTAATTTATTTAATTAAAAAACAATTTTTAATTTACTTAATTAAAAACAATTTTTAATTTACTTAATTAAAAACAATTTTTAATTTGTTTAGTTAAAAAGATCAATTTTCTTTTCCTTTTTCTTAAAGAAAATGCTCTCAAGATTTTTTATAGATTATCTTTAAGGATTAACATTCCAGATTTAAAAGGGCTTGAAAATTTTTTCATTTTGCACAGCATGATAGGAATAATTTAAATTTTAATAGCTTAAGAATAGTTATTATTCAAGCGCTGCCAATATAGTTGCAAAAAATTAATAAAGAAAAATATTATATTAATGATAAAAAAATAATAAATACTCATTTCATTGAATAGTTTGACGTTGCCAAAGTATGTTAACTTTTGAAACTTACTAAATATTTCTGACACACGTATTAAAATATTTGGGCTGTATTGAACTTTGTATAATACCTAGGTTTCACAGCAGTAATGAAAATTTAGTGGTTTAATAAGACAGGGGTGATTGTGAGCCCAAGTCAAAATTCCGAAAAATTTCCCGAGTTTAAAAAAAAAAATTTCAATTGAAAAAAATTTAAACTAGGTTTTTCTAGGAGAAGTAATTAAAATTTACAAATAGGTCTTACTTTCTTGAGTTTATGATTATAACTATTTACTGATAAAAAATGTATCTGGCTCTCCCTTACAAACAAAATAAATTGTGTTTTTAAGTTCAACTTTTGAAAATTTGATTTCCGGAAACTTCTGTGATCAATGATTTTTTGAAACGTCTGGACCTTCGATCTTCGGAAACTTCCGGATCACTGTTAGCGAAAAATCCGGATTTTTTCCGGAGCACAATCAGCCCTGATAAGACCACCTAGATTTAAGGCTATTTAGTGATCCCAAAACTTAATATGATAGACAAACTAGAGGGGGAAAAATTAAATTTCATAATTGCATAATTAATGTCTTGGTACACATCAAAAATTAGAAATTGCTATTTATTACACCATAAAACTAATTAGGTCCATTACCCCATAATGATTAAAGATTAGTATTTATTAAAATTAAATGAAAAAAAAGCTAACATTATATTAGTAAACAGGTTCAACACATAGATTAAAATGCTTACACCAAATAAATAAACAAATGAAGAAAACAGAGAATGTAAGAGCTAACGAAATATATTAAAAATTATCTAAAAATTAAAATAAAGTCAATTCTAAAATATCAAAAAACAATGTTTTATTGATGAACAATTATACTGTTAGTACATGAATACAAAGCATAGCACTATACGTAAATTAGAAATATCAACATTTAAATTTTTTCGTACCAGACCCTTTCAATTATTTCATTTGAAAATTTTAAAACTAAAATCTTATGTACGCGTAGAACAATAAAATTAGTACACTTTTTTTTAAATGTATTGCATTTGATGCAAAAAACTATTTTTCCTTACTGTTTTGCAACTTCGAAACATATTTCAAGACAATTTTGACGCCTATGATTTTAGCGACATTTGCAGAACATTTGGCGACGACTATTTTCATACTTACGTGAACCCTAATAATACCAAACTTACCCAGGAAGACAACATTTTCCAAGAAATTAATAAAAATTATATTTTCAGTTCCACATGTTTTGTTTACTATAATTATTATATTTTACATTATAGTAATAAGAAATATTTTTCCTCCAGTTCAGCAGTGAAGATTTAAGAGCTCAGACTAGATCAGATGCCTGCCTGATACTTGGTAAAGATGTCACTGTACCTTGGTTTAGAAGAGATGCTGTATGTGAACCACATGGTACTAAGAATGATACTAAGTTGTCTGTGGATTTATGTTGCAAGAACCTACAGCCTTGTTGAGAAAAAGTAAGAAAATTATTTTAAGAAAAACGGATAATGAAAAGTGTTCATCTTTAGCTCTGAAATTGAGAAGAATTTCATTGTTTTGAACGGGATTCTAGTTAACTGGAAAATGAACATTCAGTTATAAAAAAAAGTTAGATAAAGAAGCTAGTGCCAAGTTCAATAAAATGTGTATGTTATTTCCAATGCAAAACAGATTGTCTATGTGCTGAGGTAGGATGCGTTATTGTAAAATTATTTTATTCCAAGGAATTGCAACATTGAGTTTAATTACTATAAATAGAGATGTAATGAGTGCAAGTAACATATATTTATTATTTTATAAAAAAATAATGCATTAGAGTAAAAAAAGAACTAAGTAAAAATTATTAGTATTTTAAAAATGAAGACCAAAACGGAATAGTTTTTCTGTTCACTGATTTAAAAGGTTTGAATGCATATGAAAAATTCTTATTCTCATATATGAGTAGAAGACCAATTCCTGATTGCCCCAATCAATATAAGACAATCCCAAAAGTTTTTATCTTTTTAATAAAATAAAAAAAATGCTTAATTTAAACATAGTTACCTTTTAAATGTGTTTTTAAATATCCACTTTTATTAATGCATTTTTTGTAAACATTGTGACAGTTTCTTAAGCCTTGTTATACTAAAAATTGCCAGTCTTCAGTATCTTTGTATTGAACCTTGTCGGAATCAATAGTGGTGCTGAATTATCTTCTGTCAAAATATTTTTCCAATTTGGGAAATAGACTGTTTCAATAGTGACTGAATACCAAGCTTAGATTTATGGGGAGGGGGTGGTGGTGAGTGAGTCAAAATGTCCTATAATAACTATTACAGGACATCAATGGTTTAATGAACAAAGAAGTGAAAGATAAAGATGAGGTTCAATGCATTCTTAAGGACATGGTGGGGTGCTGGTATGACTTGAACATAGAAAAACACATTAATCAAAATAAGAGCTAAAAAAAAAATTTTGATTCTTAAAATCTATAAGATTTTGAAAGTTGAACATTTAGAGGAAAAAAAAAAAGGATTAACTAGATTTTTATATACAAATCTAGTAGTTCTCTTCTATATTCAACAATTATAGAATTTATTAAAAATAAATTTATATCATAAGTATATTGATAAATAAAGTTAAAACATAAATATATTGAAAAAGAATAGGTAAAAAATTGACATGTCAATAGATTTTTGAGGTTTGAAAAATTGAAAACCTTATTTTTTTTTTTAAAAATTCCTGTAGGAAAAAGATATTATGGAATAATATTTCCCTCTATAAAATTAGCTGAAAGCTTATTAATAATAACAAAAAGTTTGTTTTAAAATCCTACTTTGTTTTAGGTTTTAATAATGGATAATTGTTTATCCAATAAAAATACATGTTCTAAGAATACTTAATTGAATCTTGACTTAATTTTGAAAAATAAAAAAAATGTTGCATAGTTTTTTTTAAACAATTTTAAGTATGATTAGTACAAAATTTTTTCTTAAAATAAACATTTAATATAACTCTAGCTGCGTTAAAAGTCTAGAATATCCAAAAAATGAAATAAAATTTCTTAAATATCTGAATGGTAATAATTTTGTTTAACCAAAATTACAATTTCTCTTACAGTTCAATTAATTCAAAACTTTGTGTTCAAAATTGACTTAATTTTAAATCGTAGTTATTTGAATAAATAGCTAAAACTAGTTATTATTTTACAAAATAAATTATTTCCTATAGCTGTATAATATGTAACTAATCTAAAACAATTTCCAAAAAAAAAAAAAATATATATATATTTATACTAAAATTAAATTTTTTTATACATCTGCACATTAACTTAGCAGTCAATTATAAAAATATATATTAAAAACACGAAAGGTCCGAAATTTAGATTGGCATTTGCAAATTATATTTAATAACCATAAAAATGTAAATAAAGAATAAAAATTTTAGAAAATATTAATTTAGAATACCAACAAGTTGTAATAACACAACAATATGTTACATTATAATTATACCTTTACGGAATAACATAATAAAAATAAAACAATTTAATATTTTAGGTCTATCATATATACTTCCTCCCTAGTGAATCAATTTAACATGAAAAACTAGCATACTTTTATAGCAAACTAGCAAATTTTTATACTTTAGTTTTATTAAAAACTCAATCATGGAAAAAATTCATAAAATATTTATAACAAAAATACTAATTTTTCCATATAAAATATGGGCAATTGTTCTGGTAAATTGCACTTCTGATATCGTTTAAGTTAGTCTAAAATGAATTACGCATTGTTTGTGGTAATATGACATTGCAAGTCATTTGATACAAATTTTAATTTAAAAACTTGCATTTTCTTTTAATGTAACACAAAGATCCAAAGAAAAAAAAGTCAAGACAATCATTATAAAAATTTTGAATTAAAATTTATTGCATTACGTCAATAATTGTATAACAGGCAATTCAATAACTAATAATTGATGATTTCTAATTTTGAGGTTTACTAAGCCTTAGCAACACTTTAAAGATGTCACTTTAATCGTATTTTTCCTGCCGAAAAACACTTTTCCTCAGCCATACATATATACCATATTGAGGAGAAATTTCAACCTAACTAAAATGTGAAAACTCAAGACTTATTTACTTCTCAAGTGACTTAACTCAGTTTGCTTAAACACTTAAAGGAATACTATCTCAATTATCATTCAGACATTATAAATTAATCACATTTAAATTTTGAAATAATAACATAAGAAACATAATTTTCCAAGCTGTATATTAAGAGCAATAATATGCTCTTTCTTGTATTACTCTTGATATTTATTTATAATAAATGTGTGTTTTGTCATTTTCTTAAGATTCTAGTTTTGTGGTTTTGTAATGTAACAAAAAGTGTTGAATGTGAGCAATAAAACATTTCAATTTTCATGCAATGGGTCTCTTTTATGCACAAACAGTGTCTTATTTATACATACGCCCTCCACAAAAACCATATGGTAACTCTAAACATGATAAAGTGAAAGGTTATACTCTTTCCTAATAAAAAAAAAAGCAGCTTTGAGAGGAATTCATAATACCTCATTGAAAGGCTTGGCACATTATGATAAGCCACATTTTCTAATTGTTTAAAATTGTACATTTAGTATGTGATCGTAATGCACTATCAATTAGAGAAAATTTGGAAATCTGAAGTACCTATCTTGAAACACTACTAAGGAACAGTTAAAATGTGGTCTATCACTACATTGCCTCAAAGCTTTCATTGATGTTTTATGTGAAACATACAAACATATATAAATAACAGTGAATCAAGGTTTATGAAAACATAACACAGATTTGTTGCAAAATATAATTTAATAAAACAAACCAATCTGAGTATAAAATTTAATACATGAAAAATACTTATTGAATAATATGTATTAACAATTTATATTATAAATAAATTAAAGTGATTTTTTCAAATCATTGATTATTTTTTCAGCTTTTTCTAAAGTAGAATCTTCCTGAAAAGCAAATAGTTATCATTGTTAGTCAAAGTATTAAATAAATAAATAAGATATACAATTCGAGAAATTTTTTTTGAAAAATAATATAATCACAAAACACTAAAAGTTATTAATGAGCAAGAAGTGACGATGATTGCCTAATCCTTATCAGAAGAATTATGATTTATTATACAGATTGATATTTTTATATAAATGCATTTAAATAATAAATACACATTTTAAAGTATTAATTATCTGTTTATCAATAAAAATGGTTCAAATTTATTATAAACTTTACATTTCATTCATTTCCTTTCATTAATGATTTTTCCATTTTTGAAACAAATACTCAAAATTAAATAATTTAAATGCATAAATTGTTAAATATTTCCTCTCCAAAAAATTATAAGGATATATTTAAAAATTTTTAAGCTTCAAAAAAATATGGCATACATTAAGAATACTATAGAATTCAAAGGGAAAACCTTGAGTTTGAGGGAAAATATTAAAATAAACTTTTAATTCTTTATTGTAGAATAGATAGATGCATTTCACATAATTGCTCTTACTGAAATTTTTTAATTTTTGTATAGATCAAGTTTTTTAATGTATATTTTGCAAATGACAAATTTTGATAATAGGAGTAAAATAGGCATGACTGATTAGATAGATTTAATTGCTGAAAGATAGGTGTACATAAGGTAAATTAAAAATTAGAAAACAGCTTATACAGTTTGTTTCATTGCAAAAGATTAATAGGAACAACTTTTCTATGACACTTTTGTTACTCTCTCTCTTTTGTTGTTGTTATTTTAAAGCAACATGAAATAGAATGCAGCAAATAGAATGTTTACAGTGAAATTTCTTCCTCTCATTATGGAAGGAATGTTTACAGTGAAAAATAAACTTTTTAAAATAAGAATTTTAATTAGTCTGGAGTAATCTTTAAAAAAACATGCTAGGGTAAAATTATAAGTTAAAATTTTACAGTAAATATTAAGAATGGTAATTGAAAGATAATTTAATATAGATTATACAGTGCGGGTAAAAAAAAAATCTTTATACCCATGACAGTATTAATTTTTATTTATTTCTTTTTGCTGATATTGTTATACAGAATTTTTACTAAGCATATATATACAATTAAGTTTTGAAGTTTTTATTTATTTTTTACGAACAATAACATAAATCAGTAATAAGTACGAAAGCAGCTAACTTGCAAAAGGCAAAATTTACGTAGAATTTAATTATTGTAAACAGTTTTTTGAATGTGAAAAAAATTATTGAAATCAGAGATAAAACTAAAAGTTAGAATAGTTAAAATAAAAAAATGTAGAATTTTTTTATATTACTTTCACAATACAAAACAATATTTTTAAGGTACAATTTAATTAAAAATAATATGTAATAATAAAGCTCAAAAATAATTGAAATATTAATCCTTAATGGACCAATGCCACTATAAAAGCAGCATGGCATTTTTACCGACTGAGATAAATGCTGCATATATGGTGATAAAATTTGCTATTTATTTATCTCTGATTGTTAGCACATTTACAATTAATTTAATTACCATAATTATTATAGTTACATCTGATGGAAAGAAAATTATAAATTCGTAAAAGCGTATAAGTAATTCTTTTTCAAAATTTTATCAGTGAAAAAGGAATTAATCTTAAACAAAATCTTATATGGGTAGTTCATGTTTGAAGGAGGTGTCCAGAACATAGAAATAATATTCTGTAACTATGTTAGATAAAAATAAGTTATAAATGTATTGAATATTACATTTAGAGTAAAGAACAGAAAAAATTGCAAAGTTCAGCAGTACTAATTAATTATCCATATGCAGATTTCTTATTTTCATTAACGTTTTAATACTAGACAATATACACAAAGAAGGATAAAAAGTCAAAATTGAACAATTGTCAAAACAAATACAAATTAAAAATTTCAGTAATTGTTGCAGTAATTTAATATTTAAAAAAGTGATTGTTATATAAAGTTTATAGGTAGAGGGTTTAATGATTAAATTTCTAATATTAAATTAACTGTATTTTAAGTTCTTAAAACTATCTTTTAAAAAATCTTCAATAAAATCAACTTAGCAGAGAGAAAAACTGAATTGATAAACTAGAGAAAAAATTAGTAATTTTAAAACCCCCAGTTGCTTCTAAAAGCCCAGTTGCTGAGTAGTAGTGCTTCAGGCACTTGTGCCAGACAGGCCAGGCAGAAAGTCATTTAGTCAAGGCTAAGTTTAGCCTAAACTAAACCTAGCCTTGACTAAATGAGTACCCAGCATGTGTAAGGGACAAAACACAGAGAATTCCGATTTCGGCTGACCACCCAACAAGACTTTTGTTCCTGGTTCAGAAAACCCAAGGACAAAAAAATGGGGATGGGCACAGTAGGCCTTTGCTTTTCATGGGCTGTCAAAACACTGAATTTCGTTTTAAAACTTTACTTCTAATAGCTGAAACTAAAGATTTATGGATAAAAAGGATTAGCAATATAAATTATAAAAAATATCTCCTCAAACTCACTCACTTATCATCAGTTACTTACTTTTATAAAACAAAACCTGATTAAATCTTGAGCCAAATGTTTATCTTCATCGCCATAGAAGGCACTTGGTGGGATGCCTTGCAGTTTCTTAAATAAAAAGAAATATGCTTTAGAAATATTACTGTTATGTTGTTACTTCAATAAATGTATAGTTTTTCGTAAATAAGTAGTATGAACTAACCATAGATTTAATAATAGTTTTATTTAAGTTTTCATCGGAAAAAAAAATAAGGCTATGTTCAAGGGTGAAACTTTATAAACTAATTATACAATATATGATTTAAATGTTTATAAAATAAGCAAAATAAATATGAAATTTTAACAATAAAGATAAAATTTTGTAGGTTTATTCAAAATCAGTTTTCTTGACCAAAAATATGGGACTCTTAACATAATTTAATCTTTTTTACCAACAATTTGGAACGTTTTTAACTCTTAACTAGAACAATTTTCATATACTAATATATAACTTGAAAACAAGTACAACAACAATAATAATTAAAGGTTAACTATATTTGATCCCTATTGATTAATAGCTTGGTCATAGTAATGGATTTCAGGCAATAATGTTCACCTTCATACTTAAAGTGCTTTGTACTTTATATTTCTCTTTCTAGAGTTTAGATTTTTAACTGAAAATTTTTGCAAACACATTTTGATATTTTCTTCATGTTCAAGCAAGAAATATTACTTACTTATCAACTTGATATGAGGTCATACTGTATACATTTTTCATAAAATAAACAATAAAACAAAGAAATAAAAGCACATACCTTATTTTTTGATAACCATTTAGCAAATTTGTAGTCTTTGGTACCGGTTTCATTGCTGAGGTCTACTTTATCACCTATAGGGAAAAAAACCAAACAAATAAAAAAATAAACCCTTAAAGTAACGAAATTATTATATAGGCTTAACATGCAATACATAATTTCATAATATCCATATGAACATAGGCTATACTTTGTGTTGCAAAGTAGGAATAAAGCTAAACAATGTAAATGAAGTACAAATAAGAGCCTCTTAGGATGAAGCATAGTTAGACACATATTTGTAGGACAAAGGAAATTCAAACAGTAAGATGAGACCGGTTTTGTGTCTTGAGCCTCCCTCTCTTCTGCTCAGATGTATGGGAATGCATTAAGACATTTACCTTTTCCAAAATATTTTTCGCATTTAGATAATCAAAAATATGTTTCAAAATTTCCAAGATCCTTAAATTGAGCACAAAGTTTTGAGTTCCATATAGTTTTCAAGCTTAAATTTTCTTAATTGGTTTATAAATCAAGACAGAAATTAATATACAGCTTACTACTATGATTAAGAACAAGCTAATTTTGAGAGCATGGCTAGAGTTTCCATAGGTAAAAAGCTCGACTATGTGCGACCTGTAGCATATTTCGATCGCCAATATAGAAAACGAAATACAATCATTTCGGTATGAAACAGTTTATTGATCTAAACTGCTATACTTTTACAAACCAAATGAGTAAAGCTTTTATATGTAGCAAGATTTGTAATTATACAAATTTTGACAACTACTTGACATTTTTTTTCATAAACTAATTATTAAAGTAAATTTTTTTTTTTTTAAAAAGCAATTAAATTTTTTAAAAAAAGTGTTTAATTTTTTGCAAAGATTCTTATTGATATTAGAACACTACTTTTTTAATAAGGAAGTTTTTGCATTCTATTTATTAATGTTAGTGTACATTTTGTATTCCAAAAACCAAAAAGTACCATTATGTTATATAATAAAAAAAACAACTTAAAATCATTTCTTTGGGAGTCTAAGAAATAATAAAATAAAGCAAACATACAGCATAAAAAGTGAAATTTTAATGAAGGAATAGGATTGAATGAAGTCGATGGATATTAGATCTGGGATAGAGTACACAGTAACAAATACAAACACTACTACATAGTTAAGGTATAACAATCTGAACTAGTTTATCATGAGAATTTAGGGACTGAGACAACTTGTTCATGAAACCTAACACTAACATTTCACTATAAATGTTAAGATCTATATCTTATCTCTTGCTTTCTATTTTTTCTACTTTTGATTGACACCTGCCAGAATAAACTGCCTAAACTAAAGATCTGGTAAGGAAAAATAATTAAAAATGTTTGCAATAATTTCCAGAAATTATAGCAAAAGAATTTGAGTAATCTGGAATATCCATACTATATATAGTTTCTCTGAATGAAAATGTTTAGTTAGTATTTTAAATTTCAAAAATTACCAAGAGTTGAGAAATCAGCAATCATAAAATAGCCTCCCTCAGGTATCGTAGGAGACATGCCTACTTCAGATAAGAAATTGGCTACTCTATCTCTTTTAATTTCCAACATTTCAGCTAGTTCTTTCCAATAGCTATCTGGCTTTTCCATTCGGGCGATTTCTGTTTCAAATCCAATAGCAACAGCTTCCTGTAACATGTTTTCGTTAATTGAATTAGTAGCACTAATAGTTAATATTTTAAATCTCAAACAGAACTCTATAAAATTATTTTGTAATTTTAAATAATTTATTGAGTTTGACTATAAAGATAAGTTTTAGCAGACTTTTAAGGGCACATGATATGCAAATATTTTATCACAAAATTTTATACAAACTTTTGACTATGCAATTTAATTTTTAGTAGTTTTATTTAAATCACATTTATGCCAGGTCTTTATATAGAAAAATTCTTATAACAGAGTTTGAAAATTATTCTATACATACCGAGTAGTTACCATATAATAGTAAAATTCTTTTTAAAAGTTTATATCAGTGTTATCAATTATTGACAAACAGGTACGGAGTTAACTTTAAGAATGAATTTTAATAATTCTGAAGTGAAAAATATTAATTTACACTAAGTGGAAGGGAAGAAACGAAATTTGACTATTTTATTTGATTTTTCCCCCTACTCCTTTTATTTAATTTGTTAAAAAGAGTTTGCATGTTCAAATCAAAGGGAGAAAAAAAAAAGGGGGGGGGGTAGTTTCAATTTTCTTACAAGAGCACGGTTGGAGGTTTTGTAATTTGCATATTTTTGTTGAATATAAAAACATTCCGATACAATATTTGAATGGGTTCTTGCCAGAGTGCTCTACTTCTCTTTGTATATAGCCATAACACTCAACTTTTATAGAGAACTACAAAAAAAGTCTAGAGAAAACCACAAAATTAACTGATTCATTTACCTGTGGAATCTGATAATTGAAACCCGATAAAAAAAAAAGTGTCAAATATATCAACATATAATTTCTTTTCACAATTTGCATATAAAATATATTTTATTGTTTCCTTTTTCATTACCTTAATACTGAAATTCATTTTTGATAATTACAGTAATCATACATGAACATGCTTAGTAATACATGATTATATTTCTCTACCAATGCTTTATTTTAAACTTGCGCTCCCATACACCATTAAAAATTTAACAATGACTAAAATTTAAATAATTTCCCCAGGCTTGTTTTATTTAATTTTTAAATATAAATTATTCACAAATTTTTCTTTTAAATAAATATACTGAAAAATTTTGTTATACATTCTTTTGTACCTTAACATAACAATGCAAAAACTTTAGATAGTTATGTTTTTACCTTGAGAAAATAAATGAGGTAGTTCCACAAATTACAAAAATATCTCAAATTAATTTTGATTTTTTTTAAAAATATTTAAAACTTTCAAGACAAAGGCAGATCTAAAGCATTTTGCAGTTACCTTAAAAAATTTTTAAGAAAGATTTAATGAAATTTTTTTCAAATAAAATTATGTGTTCTGTAAGCCAAGAATACACAAAATGATTTTATATCTATTAACAAAGATAAATGACTTTATTTGAGAATTTTTAAATCTATGTGAGTGAGACTCTTCAATCAGTGGGGAAAAAATATGATGATACAAGCAATTTATTCATCTTGAAACTAAAAATTTAAAATATATTAGTATATGTATGAGCTTATTATGAATTGCACATACTTGTATGGGTGTGTTACAAGTGTAGATACAGTTTTGATGTAGAAGTTGTAAAGCTCGCATGAGTTTTTCGGAACCATAAGCCCAACCGGTCTAAAAAAAGAAATACCAAATTTAGTAATAAAATTTGTACCTAAAAAAGTTACCTCAACAGGCAGCGAACAAGCTCATTGGAACACAGAAAAAAGAAGTTAAAGACTCATGATCAAACTCTCAGTGCTATAACCAGCCTAATTAATAAAAATACAATACTAATTAAGAAAGTGGAATATTTTAAATGAATTTCTTTCATAGATTTACCTGCTAATAATTTCTACATGATGCATTTATAATCTTTCATACTTTTTTAAAAAAGAAATAGAAAAGTTCGAAAGATATAAGAAGGAAATATTATACATTTATCTACAATGTACAGATTCAAGCAACTTTTTAACCCCAATTATAATTTCAAAATTTTATAATTTGGTAAAAATAACAGGTGTTTAGAGTAATGTTGTGTAATTACTGGTTCAAATATGATACAATATAGTGAACAAAAGAGTTAAATGATATAATTTAATAGTAATTTCACAAATTGAGGGAAGAAAATAATCAAATTAGAAATATTAGAGAGCATAGAAAATAATAATAAAAAAAAACTTAAGGCAATTGCATTAATTAAAAATTTTTTGATTTAAAAAAATTATAATTACTATTTTTTTCTTCTTAATTTCATGAGATTTTGATAGCTTATAAATTTCTCTAAATTAACACAAAAATATTGTCTTCTTACTAAATAAAACTATAATATGATATTATAACATGCGATAAGTTTCCTTTTTAATTATTGCCAGAAACAAACTATTGACAATATTATCAAACGATTCAAAGTATTTGCTTCAAAAGTTTAAATTCTAAATTAGACCATAGATTGATGCTTTAAAAATCAAAAAACACACATCGATGGGCTTTTTAAAGTTTGAATTTAAAAGTGTCTACTATATTTCCTGAAGAAAAATAAGATAGGAAAACTTTTTATACAAACCATACAGCACACACATTACATAAAGATTTGGAAAACTTAATAGTTGAGTAATTAGTAGAACAGCTTAACAATCAAGTAATCAAAAATAGTTACAAATGACCACTTTAAACTACTTTTGAGTATTATGTTTTAAAGATTTTTAAAAATATATACTTCAAACAGAAAACTATGAGTTTAATATGAGATTTGATTATTGAAATATTTTTAGTAAAAAGAAGGAGTCCTACATGGGACTGAGTGTAAAGTTTCCAAGTAGAACATCGAAGTTAAGCATCACTGGAAGCAGTCAGTGAGTGGATTATCAAGGGATAAAAGAAGTCATTTTTCAACCCCTTATAGATATTGTGAAAAATTAAGAAGCTTTTCTGCAAAAAAAAAAAAACTCTTTTGAGAAAAACATATGGTTCTTGTATGATCCTGATGATTGGACAAACCGGTAAATCGGCGCTCTACTATATCTAAAATAATAACTTACTTTCCAACCAGTGACACTGAATGTTTTTCCTGCACTACCAATGGTGATAGTTCTGTCCCACATTCCAGGCAAGGTTGCTAAAAAATAAACATAAAATTACTGGAAGACATAGTAAAACATAAATGCTCTAGAGTCTACTGTTTTCTAATTCAAAGAAGTAATAAAGAGACATTAGAAAAAAACATAAAAAATAAAAGTTTAAGAACGATTAACAATCACTTTGATGTTTTACATCACATATTGATTAATAAACCTTAGACATATTAATAGTTTTTCTTATGTCTTGCGAAACTTTTTATGTAGAGCATTGTACAGCATAATGTATTTTCTAAAAATTAATTCTAATTTGAAGACTGTTAATTTCAAAATATGGAGAAAATGTCGGACAAAAAAGGCAAATAAGCATGGACATCCTTTTATCTGACTATCTTTAGTCAAAAATATAACATATTTAGTAAAGTTTTTAATATAAAGTATCATAAGTATAATTTTGCTACAGTAAAATATTAACGCGTTACAACTTAATATTTTATGTTTTAAAAGGTCAAATATTAAACACATGGTATTAAATAAATCATATTCACAAAATCAGTATATAAAAGTACAAATAACATGGTAAACTGAAACACAAAAGTTCAGTAACCAAGAGAATATAAATCATTGCATATCTAAATCATCTTCACTGATATACTTGTTGTTAGAGTATCCAAGTAGTCATCTGTCTCTATTTATTACATTATCTGAGCTCTTATACATAATTGTTATACTTAGTTTAATAATGCAGTGCAAATGAACTGTATGTTGTTCTCTAAACACTTTGTAATTTAATAAAATAACTATTTGTTTAATATTTTGAATTAATTCTTTAATTCTAATTATTAATTCCTTAAAAAAAGACCAAATGTTGTTGAATTTCATATTTTCAGTCGGTAAATGTAGGTCACATCTAACCACAAATTTATATTTATTTTTACAAATATTTATTGGTAGGTAGATACTTTATTAACATCGCACTAGAGCTGCACAATGGGTTATTGACGACGGTCTGGGAAACATCCCTGAGGATGAGGAATATTTATTGGTAGTTACACATCATAATTTAAGTACTAAAACCTTTTTCTCTCTTCATAAACATTATATATTCTGAAGGCATAAAATAACTGGAACTTTTGATTGAAAAAGATTTTATTTGTAGTAAACGTCCATGAATTAAAATATTTTCAAAGTATTTAAACTCTAATATTTCTAGAGAAAAAAATTAAATACCAATAAAACAGGTAGTTCTTAAGAAGTTACAGAATTATTTATTAAATAATGTGTCACAAATTTAATAATTAAAAGAAAGGTAATCCATCACAATAGTACTTTTCAAGTTTAATAATATAATTCTAATATACATTATTTATTAAGGTAAAACTTATAAAAACTATACTGAAATAAAGAGGACACTTTTTGTAAATATTCTTTTTAATTATTGATTAGAGTTTACACAGGGATACCAATGGACTGCTCCGCTTTCTGCAAAAGTAGGTAGCAAATTCAATAGCAAAATTTGTAGAATATAGATAATTATGTTTATTTTTTAACAGAGTGAGCACGAGATAATTGCAATTAAGCTAAATTTCATATGACACTTTGAATTTTTGATATGTAGTGGTAATACTTAACTGAAAACAACTTAACTTTTGTTACTACTAGAAAATATTTATTTACAAAGTGAAGCAGGTTTGCAATTTTGTTTTACGCAAGAGGATTTCACAATCAAAGATAACCAAATTGGTTTTGTGCAAAATTTAACTTCTGCTTTTATTTAACATAAAATATTAAAAACTAAACAAATTTTCTACTTAGTCTTAAAATGTTTAGTGTTTTTATGACTACAAATTATTACATCATATAAAATAAATCCATATACAAAAATTACCCATGCGGATATGTTCATTGCCTTGAAATATTAACCATTCATATACTTCATCCATGAGGGCAATAACATCATGCTTTTTACAGAGTTCAGCAATCATTAACAGTTCGTCGCGCTTGAAAACCTATATTAAAAAAATAAATGAATTTCGTTGTTAAAGCTTTCAATGAGAAATAATATAGTAACTTAAGTCTAATTAGAAAATGAATTCAATTTACAAAAGCAAAAAAGAGACAAAGAAGTAAATAAACTATTAAAACATTAAATTAAAATAGAAAAGCACCTAAAGCAGCTAAAACTAAATTTGCTTTATTTAATTTAGAAATTCAAACAAACATTATATCTGTAAAAATTAAAATATATGTGTGTCTGTAAGACAGCACTTCTTCAGGGGACACACTGTCTATAAACAAACAGGAGCCTTTCTGTTGTCAGTGGAAAAAACAAAACAAACTGACAGTGCCCCTAGATTGTTTTAAAATGTTTTGTTTTATCTATCAATAAATATGATTATTAATGCATTTTTTTTTTTTTTTTTGGTTTTCTCAGTCGTCCCAAAAAAGGGACGAACTAACGAGATAAAAGTTTAAACCATTACTGAACTTACATTCTGAAAATTGTCCTTGAGTGATCCAATGAAGGGATACGGTTTTACGTACGGGACATTTCTTTCCTCCCAAAAAGTGTGATTTCTGGTTGCGAATCTGAAATAGAATTTGTGATTTAATATCTTTTTATGATAAGGTACAAAACACCATTTAAGACGCTAAACAATTAATTTAACAAGATAATTTAAAATTTAAGATAATTTAAAATTTAAGTACAGATTTTTTTTTGTTTTTTTCAACGCAAGATAAATATCTGATTTTTTAGACACAATAGTTGCCTTAACATTTCTTTCCGTACTGCATTATTGCTGTAAAGATTTCAGACATAGATTGCATAATAGGAACAGCATGCTGTATAAATCCAGGCATGCTTTATAGACATTGCTGCATAGATCCAGTAAGCTGTATAGATCTAGGGTCAAACTACTTTTTAGTAGATAGGTTTAACTCTGTACAATCGTGAAAAATCATTAATAAGAAAGGTAGTTTACAACTCAAGCAAAAAATAATATTGTTACTAGATGTCAAACATTATAAGCTGTAAAATAATGTTTACTTGGGAACGTTTAATGCATAGAAATTGAAAAACAAATGATGTAAAAAGCACTCTACACCATCTCCAATCCTCTTTTTAATAAACATAATTAATAACATACAGCAATAAATTGATATTTGGATAAATTTAAAACAACGTGAAAAGAACACAAACAATGCCACAAAACCAAAACATTAATGTGATTTTATTTTTGCTTTTTTTTTCCACTTCATTTTAACTCCAATTGCATACCCTTTCTTTTTCAGAAACCGGTTATTTTTTTTAAATATTAATTAATTTCATAATTTCAAAACGTGTTTAAAGATGACTACAAGCAACTACTTTGGAATTTAGTAACTACTTCACACCTTTAAGAAGACGAACTTTNAACCCAAAAGCATTCCAGAAGAGTAGATAATTTCAAGCAAGCAATTTGGAAACATGGATTTAAGGAGAGCAGTAGACTTCTTAATTATTAATTTAAACTATAAAAAAAAAAATATTTTTTCCATAGGGGTTTGGAAAATCATGTAAGTATTGAGTAATTTTTTCTCCTACCAATTCTTTATATTACAAACTTTTAGGCATGAAAAATTTTAAAAATTCCTGAGAGACATGAAACTTCGTAAATAAACTAGTATGTTGCTGTGAAGAGGTAGTAAGATTTGCATTCCTTATTCGTTGAGTTATAATTTGAATTGTAAAAATTTACAAAAAGTATGAGATTAAAAACAAAAAGCTTTTTCTAGGATTCTTAAAAAAAAGCATTAATATCGGCTGTTTTGCGTTATTTTAGTTTTAGTTTGATAAGAATTAAAAGTTTAAATGCTATATTTTTTAGTGCAGCGTAAACATTAAAATACGGAATGGTTTCTTCCCTTCTTAGTTAAAAAAAATTAAAATTACGTTAAAATTGAAATTAATTTAGTTAAATTTACGCGAAAAGTTTATTAATTCACCTAACTCAAAATAAGGGTTAAAAATATTGATAATAATACGTAAATTGTACGGATTAAATCCGTTTGTATTTTGGTTAAAATAACGTTAAATGTGCGTTATTTTAATAAAAATAAGCGTTAAAAACACGTAAATATTCATGGTGAAAAAGACGGATCTTATAAAACTGAAAATTCACGTTAAAAACTTAGTTAAAATAGCGTAAAAAATACGATAAAAAAGAAACAAACTTCGTTAAATTAACGTCAAAGATTGGTATCAAAATTCACCATAGTCAAACTAGAGGCAAAAAAGCGTCAATTTTGCGTTAAAAATAACCCAAATTTTAACGTTTATTTAACGGATTCGAGACTACCACTTGAAACGTAAATAAAACGTTCGGTGGAAACGTTTTTTTGCTTTTAACCTTGTGGCATTATAACGTTATTTTCACGTAATTAATACTTATCTCTGCTGCATGGGTACCTCCATAGTTATAGAATATATTTTTCCTAGTGGTAGCAAAGGCAATCTATTAATAGGGATGTAACGAATATTCGGCTACTATTCAGCAATCTGCCTTTTTGCCGAACATGAGGCTAAATATTTGGCAAAGTATTATTTGGAAAGTTATTTTTCGACAAATATTTTTTTTGGGGGAAATTTTTATAGATTTAATAAAGAATAATCTATTTTTTACAATATATTATTAGAAATAGTTTTTACTCAGATTTGCTAAGTTCTGAAACTTGCTAATTTATGTTCTGAAAGATACTTGGAAAAGTGAAATTTGAAGCATTGAAACTAGATTACTTTGTACTGGAGCCATGAGTTCTGCAATTTAATTTTTTTTCTTTTTTTAATTGCATTTAGGTAAGTCAATTTCTTCTTCTTTTCAACACTTCATACAGTACAGAACCCGTTATCCGGAATTCAGAAAACCGGAAAACCAAAAAACTGGAACGAAATTCAAAAAATTTTCCCGCCATTTAAAAAATTTTTGTTGTTGTTTTTCCTCATAAAATTTTAGCATTTTTCTTTCTTTTTTGAAAGATGTTTACCTTACAATAATTTTGGAAATAATCATTAGTGTATTACTTCATAGTTTTTCCTTCTTTTTAAGATTATTACCAAATATTTTTTTTTAGTTGGGTTTAACAATAAAAAAAACGGCTTTTTGTAGCGATTCAGAAAACCGGAAAAATCAGTTATCCGGAATAGCGATGGTCCCAATCGTTCCTGATAATCGGTTCCCTACTGTATTTTAAAAATTAAGAACTTTTTTGTTTCATTTTTGCTTGTTTTTCTGCTTTAACTTAAGCAAAGCATGTTAAAGGAGCATTTTATAATAGACTTTATTCTTTCATTGTCACTTTTTTCTTGCATGGTAAGACAGATAACTAGCAACATAGAAAATTGTGATTCTCAACCTTAAAGTTATATTTCAGAACTAAGAACAATTTTTCTCTGCTTCTCTTTTAACTTTTTCTATTAATTTTTTTAATCAGCGGTTTTAGGATGCCAGCATTTTTTAAACACCGTTTCTAATGAAAGTTATTCGCATATGGTCACTTCTTTCTAAAAATACGCCAATGTGAAAAAGTTAAATTAAGATTTTTAATGTTAAATCTTTTGTTCAAAAATTAAGAATAAGTTTTTTTTTTCTTTCAAAAAACTTATGTATATTATTATGATGTGGCAATTAGGATGGTTCCTATTAGACATTAATCTTCACTTTTTCTTGAAATCACAGTAATTGGAAAACTGAAATGCTTAGCTTTATAATTTTCTTGCAAAAATAAAGATAGATTTTTATTTTTCCTGCTTTGCTTTTGTATTTTTTATAAGCATTTCTACGATAAGGCTGCATTTTTAAAGGTGTATCTGATAGACATCTTTTTTAATGTTTTATGAATAATTTCTTTCCCGTAAAATATTTTCAGCATTAAAGCTTTGTTTTCAGAATTAAGAGCCTTTTTTTTTGTTATTTCTTTTTTTTTTCCACTTTAAAACTTTAGTAGTTTTCTTTCTTTCTAGAAGTCATTATTACTTTTCTTTTATCTAAAATATTTCTAAATATCTTAAATACTTCTATTAAAGTTCTTTTACCTTTACACCAGAACAATAGAACAGCTACGTTTTGATTATTTTTCAACAATGACTAAACTTATTTCTATATAAAAAATATTTATAAAGGTTTTTTCTTCTTCTAAAAAAAAAAAATGCTATTCGGCCTATTTTTTTTAGCCAGATATTCAGTATTAGGCCAAATCACTATCTGGTACATCCCTATCTATTAATATTTTAATAAATTATAGTTTTAAGTATTTTGTGCACCATTACATAGAAATGATTTAAGCAGATATAAAAAGCATTCCTGCTCCAATATTCTGATTAAAGTTTTATAAATATTCAGTAAATTTTAAAGATTTCTGTTTTAATTTTTTACCAGTGAAAAAATATTTCTCTGAAGCGTGAAACACTAGAGGTTATGTAACTCCTTATGTAACATAGAGGTTATATAACTACAGAAAAAAAGAATTATTATAAGCAATGCATGTTTATTATAATAAGTATATATAGTCAATAAAATTACCACTCAAATAATTAAAATAAAATTGAAAGAAAACTGAATTATTAAGTACAGTTAGGAATACTTTAAAGCAAAATTACCTTTCCTAAGGGGTTGTGGGGAGTATTAACAATTATCATTTTTGTACGGCTTGTGAATTTTGAAGCCAACTCATCTGGGTCAAGATACCAATCACCACTTGAAACATTTGCACTACTTTTTTTCTGAAAAAATAAGATCTTCTATTAGAACTAACAAATGCAAATTTTAAAAATTTGTTTTAATTTCTATGGCAAAAAATACAAAAATCAAAGGATTCTTAAAAGGTAAAAAATGGATAAAAAAATCGTCTATTTTTCTATAAATTGTTGAGTTAGGAAAAAGAAACAATATATTTTTTCTTTGACTTTCGTAGACTTGCAGTAAATGTTTAAACATTTTTTACTTATTATAAGCAAATGTTTTTTATAACACTAGGACCAACTTACAGACGATTATTTATAAATAAGTTATAAATGGTGACACTTTTGCATTAAAATAGAGAAAAGTGGTTAAAGTAGTACTCTAAAAATAAGGAATTTAAAAAATTCACGTAAAACGTATAAATAATGTAATGAAAAAAATGCAACATTAGGGTTGCAAAAATTTGACTAAGAAATTAATGATGATTTATTTATTTATTTCAAACGCTTAGGTCCTTAATTATTAGGTGTGAAAGAGTGCCAAATCTTAAAAATTCAATCACGTACTAATATTTAGAAAAATGTTTTAAATTATCTGCATTGATAAAATTGATTATGAAATCCTTCTTCTGGTTTACATTTTTAAAAAATAAATAAATCAGAAAACAAAACAGATGATAATTAAGAAAATAGAAAGTTTCCAGTTAAATAACAATAAAAAATAATATTTTTTTTTGTAGAAGACAGAGGTGCTAATTTTTAAATAACTATCAAAATTAGAAGAAGAATAACAAAGAAAAATATACAGATAGCATTTACAGAATTCAAACTAGTGCTATTTTAAGAAGCACATACTTCTTAGTTCTATATAAAGGTATAATATAATATTAATAAAATTAATGCATTAATTTACTATTAAATAAAAAAAAGTAACATTTAGATAAACATACTAAACTAAAAATTATACAATTCTGAAATCATTAAAAAATGAAATTGATTACTTAGAATCAATATTCAGGCTTTTGGTTAAATTAGAAGTAGTCTTTATTGCTTTTTTTTAATCACCCTGCATATGTACTACTAAAACCTTTTTGCTCGCTCAAATTTGAGTTTATGTTCTCTTGCTTTTTCATAAGAAAAGATGATTAAGTTTCAGAATATATTGTTGGAAGGGAGGAAGTTGAGATTTCTTTGAATTTTTTATTATTTTTTTCAATCAAATTATTTTTGTTTTTTTTTGTTGTTTTTAGTAAAATTAAATGGTAGAAAAATTTACCGCAGATTAGTTGCAAACAACATAATTTCATGTTCTCTTGATAATTAAGAGGAAAAAAAAAACTTATTATAAACTGATTATTAGAAAAAAAATCTCAAACACCAAAATTTTTATTACTTGATCATAACATCCAAGTCTTAACATTGAAATTGTAATATTTATGGATAAATAATAATAGTTGGCACCCCTGAGAAACTTACAAGCCTCAGAGGAATAAATACAGGCACGCCACCAGCCATTTTTGTCATTGGTTCATAGCAGTCAAAGAATGGCTCAATAATAATGACCTATAAAAAAAATTTTTTTTCAATAAAAATATGATATATTACATTAAAATTATTTTAAAAAAAATCAAAAAAGAAAATTACTAACACAGCACACTTTTTTTTATTACATCTAAATTAAAAAAAAAAAAGTTACACTCATAATATATATGCATTAAGTTTAAAAATGAAGAAAATTTAGTCATTGGTCTGAAAGACCAGTAACTAAGAAATAGTACTAGTTTGTGTATATTTTCACTTGTCTTTCATCTGTATGTCATTATTAGACTTTTCTTAAAACAATAATAAAGTGAATTTTCATGAAAAATTTCCATAAAGAAGATGTTTTATATCATAATTTTGATGAAATATGATAAAAATACAGATCAAAACATAGAACCAAAAAAAAATAATAATGCATAAATAAAACCTAAACAGCATACTATCCATTTACTTTTATTACTGGTCCAGTGAACCACATAAATATTTTATAGTGACCCCAGTCAAATCTTAGTGGTCTTGGACTAACAGACCACTGTTGATTTTAACCTTTGTGTATATACATAAATTAATATGATGAAAATAAATTAATGAACTAAATCTTGATCACATAAAATGCAATCAAAAAAAAAGGAAAAAACAAAATTCTTAAAAGTCCCCATGCTGATAAGCGCTTTCTAAATGTACTCCAGAATAGCTAAAGCGAAATATACAAAAATACAGATGACAAAGATAATTAATTTTTTTAAATAAATTTCAATAAAATTAACTAGACTAGGGTTCACGCCAGTATGGCGACAATTTTTACTAAATGTTTTACAAATGTTGCTAAATTCATACGCCTTGAAATATGTTTCAAAGTTACAAGATAGAAACAAAAAATAATTTTTTACACTGAATGCTTTGCATTTAAAAAAACTGTTGCACTAATTTCATAATTCCACATGCAGGTTAGATTTCAGTTTTAAAATTTTTTAAATGCAGTAATTGAAAGGGTCTGGTGCAAAAATTTTTAAATTTAAATGTTGATATTTTTAATTTACACATTGTGCTGTGCTTTATATTCATGTACAGACAGCATAATTGTTCATCAATAAAACATTGCTTTTTTGCTCTTTTAGAAATGACTTTATTTATAATTTTTAATATAATATTTTTTTAGTTGTTACATTCTCTGTTCTATTAATTTATTTGGTCAAAGCATTTTAATCTAGATGTTGAATCTGTTTACTAAAATAATTTTATCTTTTTTACCCATTTAATTTTAATAAATACTAATCTTTAATCATTATGGGGTAATGGACCTAATTAAATTTAGGGTGTAACAGATGGCAATTACTAATTTTTGATGTGTACCATAACATTAATTATGCTATTGTAAAATTTGATTTTTTTTTCTCAAGTTTGTCTACCATAAGTTTTTGGACAACTAAATGAATACCTAGCTGATCTTATTAGACCACTAAGTTTTAAATACCGGTGTGAACCCTAAGAGAAAAAAAAATTATTTGGTTTCATATTTTGCATGATCAACTACTACCTTTAAAAATTTTTAATAAAATAGAATATTACTGAGTGTTTAAGTAAATTTAATAAAGGATTTTAAATTCATAACAGCATCAAGAAGTACAAACTTTTCTTGATGACGTTTACATTCTAAATTAATAACAGCTTCAACAAATACTAACTTTTCTTGATCAACTTAAAGCCTAAATAAATCACTAAGCATTGAAAACACACTTAATTTTGTTTCTAGAGAAATAAATGTTTTATATAAGGCCAATTTTAAGAGATGGAATGAAAAAACTTTTTGTAAAATAATCCCCAATTGTTTTTAGGAAGATTTTTTTTTTATGGGCGACAAATTGGCTATTTCATAAACCAAATCTCTGACAACTAGCAGTGTCTGCAAACTTTGCAAACATACAATTTTTAAACTAATGCCTGTTCTTTTAGTACAATAAACATATTGTATTTTACTGATAAATGACTGATAATAACTGATTGCAATACTGAAAAAGAACATACTTCATCCCCAGGATTGATTAAACCAAGTATTGCACAGTATAAAGCTTCATAAGCACCACAAGTTACAAGAATTTCTTTTTGGGGATTGACTGGTCTTCCTAAGAGTGATGTATATAACTTTGATAAAGCAGCTACTAATCGAGGATGACCCTAAATAGAAAAATATTTTTTGAAAAGGTAAAACTTGATTTATACAATACAATAGTTTAATAAAAATTATCTTAACTACATTCAATAAGAATTAAAATTAAAGATCACTTCCACCTTTCAACTAAAACTAAGCATGGCAAGTTTCTTCCACAGAAGGAAAAAAAAAAAAACACCAAGAAAAAAAATAGGTTTCCCAGAACAAATAGGAAGAAACTTTTCTCTTTTCCAAAAAGAAATATCAAATATTAGAGTAATGTTTAATACAATAGTTTAATAAAAATTATTTTAACTGCATTCAATAAGAATTAAAATAACAGATCACTTCCACCTACAACTAGGCATGGCAAGTTTCTTCCACAGAAGGAAAAAAAAAAACACCTGGAAAAAAATAGGTTTCCCAGAACTTTTACTTTTCTTTCTTCCAAAAACAAATATTCAAATATCAGAGTAATGTTTAAGAGTTTGTAAGCGCAATCTAGCGTGAATAATTGTATTAATTTCAGATATTTAATTTATCATTTTTAAATATGTAAAGAAAAATAAATTCAATAAATTTCCAAAGAAATTAAAGTAATAGTAGTCCCTCAATATTTTATGTAAATGAGAAGAGTGAAACCTTAATTTATAATTACATAAATTGGTATAATATCATAATCAAATTTTGTTAATACTACTAAGTTAACAAATAACATTATACACCACCCACATACTAAACTTCTAATCACAAATTTTTTTATAATCAGATACTGTAAAGTTTGCTGATTTAAAGACTATAAAATTCCAAACAAAACCAAAATAAATAGGAAAACAGCTATTTTTTTAAGAAAAAAAAGAGTTGAAACTTTCGAACACTACATTACATTTGTTTAATATTAAGCTATTCTTTCATACTTATTGCTAAACAACTGTATTGGTCATTAAGCATTTCTTTTATTTCCTCTATTCTGTCTTGTTTTTTTCCCCCAATTTCTTTCAGATAAAATTCTAACCTCATTGACTGCATATAGTCTAACAATTTAAAAATAATAATTGAATAAGGAAATGAACATTGGAAATAAAAATTATGCAGACTTTCTTGATAACATTTATAAATATGAGTCTCAATATTTAGAAAACTCTTGCAAAATTAAAAATCTAAAAGATTTTATAGATGCATAAAATTAATATCCTGCTAGATATGAAGCTAAATATTAGAATCGAGACCCTATGGAATATAACTTGATACTTGTCTAGAAGTTAAATTAATAATGTTAATAATAATGATATTTGAAAATACACTTTGCAAAGCAAAGATATATTGTTTGTTACAATATCGTTTTTTTGTTTGCAATTTAACATCTTGATAGTAAAAAGGTTCACTTATCATAGCTAATATACATTATTGCAATTGCATGTAGGTTATGGTACAAACTTTGCACTATAAATTTATTATAAAATAACACAACAGAGAAAATAATTTTTAGAATAATATTTTCAGCTTTCTTTAGGCTTATATCTAAAATTATATTTATTAAAATCTATAAAAAATTTCTCATTTAACAAAATATATATTTACATTTTAGAGAATATCACTAAATTTAATTAATGTTAGTAAAATTTTGCAATTTAATAGTTGTATTAAGTTATTTGAGGAAAGAAACATAAAAAAATAGATAAAAATTGAAGCTAAAGAAAGGCAAGTATTTTGATTTTTATGAATACCCAGTACACAAGGCCACCATTATAAAATTAGTTGTAAAATTATCTTATTAGTATTTGTAGGTAAATGTCACTTCATGCTGAACTGTATCAAATCACTATAATAAAACAGAATGTGCCTAGCTTAGAATATTAAATTAGTTTCAATGAACAAAAATAAACAAGTATTTCTTATAAGTAAAAAAAAAATTTTTTCTTCAGAAAATAAACTGCAGTTAAAAATAATCAGTTTGAAATAAAATATATTTGAAAATTTCTTAAAAATAAAAACAGTGCATTGCGGGGGCAAAGAGGGGTTAACACAATTCTGTTTAAGGAATTAAGTAAATGTCTTATTTATTATTTCCTTTTTTAGGAGACAAAAAAGAAAGAAGAAATTTTTTTTTCTTCTCTACTTTACAACTACACAGACAGTAAAAATATTTTTGAAGGGCTTTTTCAAAGCTATTTTCTAGATTTAAAGAAAATGTCACTAATTTCTAATTTAGAAAAAAAACAAAAAAAAAACAACAACATGAAATAGGAAAATATTTTAATGTATTTTTTTAATCTAATAGACAATAGAATATTTTACTAGAGTTGACAGTTATATTTATAAAAAGCGTAGTTTTATTTGCAAACAAAGAGCAATGAATGTAAATAAATTCATATTCAATAGAATGAAATGCTTTCAGAAAGAATATATAAATCTTAAATACAACTTGTTTTTAACAAATATAAAAAAAAATTGTACAGAAGAAAAAAAGAGTTCAACTCACAAATCCTCTTGTATATTGGTTCAAAAGCACATTGGAGCTAAGACAAGCCTCGCTAAGGGCCTTAGCAACATGAGAAGGAGCAGCAAAATCTGGAAAACCTTGACCAAGGTTTACAGGCTTATGATCAAGAGCTAGTTGAATAAATTCCACCCTGTGAATGGAAGAACATTACTATGACAATAAATATCAACATAATAGGTGAACAGTAGACAATTTTTCTAGTACAAAAACAGTAAAAAATTCAGGACCATGCTGATGTTATAATAACTAAAATATTTGAAAACATCTTCCATCTTTCAAATCATAAGCTATAAAGCTTTAAATTTAATCTTCATGCATTAGTTATGCACACAAACAAGATTTTGTCACAGCGAGAAGAGAGGCTTTCCAGTATAAAAATCATGGGCTATTTTCTACAAAATGATTAGCAAGATTCCCCCTCCCCTCATTGTAATAATTTGTCTAACTTGGAAGAATGTAACAATGGGATAAAACCATTACATTACTATTGCTAACTAGGTACTAATATTACTATTATTGAGGTAATTTAAAAATGAATTTTATGAGATGTATGTTCATTTCGCATCAAAGAAATTTAAATATTTTTTTAATGTACTATGAAATTCTTATTTACTTAAATTAATTATTATACTATGAAACAAATAATTACTAAAGTAATATGTCTTTTAAATATTGAAATTGAAAAACTACAAAAAATAATAAGCCTTACTCTAGGATTCTCTATAACACAAAAATTAAACTGCCAGACTTGAAAACAACAGAATTTTATTGTATTTTCTAACTGTCGGTGAACACCTAATCCAATTTTAAGTTTACAACTATTAATGTTCAACTTTGTATCCTTGTAATTTTTAAACACAACCCAGGAGAGAAGGAAATTCTTGAATCAACTATTGGGATAAACTAGCCTAGGAGGACTTTTTGATAGAACTAACCCAATTTGCAATACATGGAGCTCCTCTTACACTATTTTATGTATCCATACCCTCTTATACTATTTTATATCTATATTTTAAAAAGTAATCTCTCTCATTTTCAAAATAAAAGAAAAGTTTGTAGTTCATAAAAATAATTAAAAGCAATCTTGGTGCATATTTTTTTCAAAATAACTAAACTAACAAAAAATAATTTATTGTAAAAACAACTTCAAATCTTTTTTTCTATAACTAAAAATAAAAATTATGAGAAAATGATTTAAAGAGGCCTTTTGCTATCAAAAAAAAATATTTATTTGAAAAAATAATTTGAAAATCACTTACAAATTTTTAGTATCTCCAAACGAAAAAAAAAATATTTATAAAAATTTAACCAGTTTAGAATAATCCTAACCTACAAACACAGATAATTTTACCAGTGAGTAATTATTTAAACTGCGAATTATTTTTTAAAAAAAAATGGAATATGAATAAAATGGCAGTGTTTTTAAGGGATAGTGGCTTATTTTTACAAGAAGGGCACATTTATCGGAATCAAAGGGCAAGCAGGAGGACCACTTTTCAAAAAACGCTTAGGGAGAACACTATCATAAATCAATATATATATATATATCAAATATCAATATAATAGAATACTATATTATATAATTAGATAGTTTATATGATCAGAGAAGAAAGATACTGCAAAACTACTGAAAACAAAATACTCACCAGACACTTTCCTTAACACCTTCAATTCTCTTAGCTGGCCCATGTGAAGTCATTGTTCTCTATAAAAATTTAAAATATAGCTGGAATATAAAAGGTGTCTGAAAATTTAGTACAATAATATTACAAATTTTAAATTTAAATTAGTCAATAATTTTATAAAAATCAATCATTAGATTGTTTAAAAGATACTGAAATAGAATTTTAAGTGCAGGCAATTTTAAATATAAACCACTGAAACATACATTTTAGAAACAAACATAAATGCATCGAATTTTAATTTATTACTTTAATATTTGAAATACATTTTATAAAACACAATTAAGATAAAGTTCTGTTTCAAGTATAAAACTTTTTGAATTTAAGCTATTTATTATCACAAAGAAAATATTACTTGATTATGTCAAGTAAAGTTTAGATAGTGCATAGTTTTATTTGTATGAATTGTAATATTTTTGATGCAAGATCAAACTTCAATTCAACCCCTACAACTACAAGGAACAACATGAATATACACATAACTAAATAAAAATGTTTGAAAGTATGTATTAATTAATCAACTTTAATGCAGTTCAGATTTGAAACAATAAAAAAAATAATGAATTGGTTTAGTTGGTAGTTCCATAGATAACTGATTCAGCACTCTTATAGACTGTAATACAGTGCCTCCCACATTTGATTTTTTTCTCTCGTTAAAATGGAAGAAACACAAAGATAAAGTTTTAATTTGCTTATAAATAATTGCTGTGATGTCATACATCAGAGGTGTAACGAACGGTTAAATCTTATCAAGACATTGGATTGTTGACTAGGGAAATAAATTTAAATTTATAATATAAAATATATAATCATACATAAGGATTTAAACTTAACATGTTTATGAATAAGCACTATAAATTTGAATATATATAGCTGGGATAGCTTTACAGATTTTTCCCATGAAGTTTCAATCAATTAACGAATAAATTATAAAATATAGTTTTAAAATATATATATAATTACTTACATATAATTATTTATAATATATTATTTATTACATAAAAATATATATTTTCTTAGATATTTTAAGACTATATCAGTCATTTACAAATAAATTATATTATAATAAACAAGCTCTTCATGAAAAAAAAGTAGAACTAAAATTTAATTCAAAACTCTTACTTTATTTTGAAAATTAGATGGGACAGAAACAAGTCTTTCATCAAGAATATGAGATATTGTTGGTTTATGAAACTTAGAATATGTATTCCTTACACTCCACAATCTTTTGAAATGTCTTATCATTCTTTAATCTACAAACAAGGATTTCATACAATGATTTGAAAATAATTTTTTTTTCAGATCAAAGTACAATTAAAAATATGATTTCAATTACTGATTCTAACGATCAAGTAACTTGCTTAAAATTTTTGCAAAAAAGACTGACATAATCTTAGCTCTCATCAGTGGTTAAAGGTTAACAGAGAAAAAAAAAATTGCATAGAATTAAAAAAGTTTTAAAACAGTGAAAATTAGAGTATACATTTAAGGAAAAAAATGCATACAGTAAAATTCAGAAAAAAACTAATATAATGCATTAAAAGCTAAAATAATTAGTTAAGAAATTTATAAATAGATAACATCTAAGCTTAAATTAGAACTGCTTGATAAATTATAAGCACTATTTCTATTTACATTATTATTTTCTTAATTATATGTAAAATATTGCTGTTAAGTTAATGAAAGCTTTAATTTTTTCAAAGTCTTGCATTTTATTTTTACTATTAGTCAATCAATTTGAAAATATACACAGGTCATATTTATCAGTATAAACAACAACAGGAAATAAGACAGATTTTTTTGTTGTTGATTTTTTTTAATGAAAAAATATGAATTAAGATTTGAATAAGCAACCTTGTACAAGCAACAACACTTCAAAGACTGAGACACATAAGAAACTGATGTTTAACTAATTCTATTTTTGTAAAAAAGACTGACTTAATCTTAGTAATCTTTTCTCATCAGTGGTCAAAGGTTGTTCAGGGGAAAGAAGAAATCAGAATCTTGCGCAGAATTGAAAAAGGTTCTTTTCAAAACAAGATCATTAATAAATGCTAAAAACTTTAAAACAGTGAAACTGAGATTAAAAATTTTTGGATTAAAAATTTATTGATAATAAAATTCAGAAAACAATGCATTAAAAACTAATTATCAGTAGAGAAATTTATAATTAGGTATCATCTAAGCTAAATTGCTAGATAAATTAGAATTACTTTTTCTAGTACACATTTTCTTAATAACACATGTAATGAAATCTTTATTTTTGTGAAAATCTTCATCACAATTTTACTAATTAGTGAATTTCAAAATATACACAGGTTGTGTTCAACTTTCTACTACAGGAAATAAATCAGATTTTAATTTTTTTGTTGTTGTTGAAATTATATAAATTAAGATTTGAATTAACAACCTTTCACAAGCATCAACACTTAAAAAGTTAAATACATAAATTGATGTTCTTCTTACCTACCAACAGAGGTTTCAATCACAAAGAGTAAAATTGATATACATAAGAGCATAATTACTGAAATTGACATGAATTAAACCAAATATCAATTGAAAATAAAACAAGTAATCAAAAAATTACTGCATAAAAACGCAGTCCAATTACTATGTATACATGTTAGCGGCATTTAGCTTGCAAATTATTTTAAAACTGACATTTGACACTTAAATTTTAATTTTCTATTTACTGCTTATAATTTTTAAATAATTATACTTGATACAGATTCAAAAATGAATTGTCACAATATTTTCGATTCGTTTAAAGAGAATAAAATTAAGCACTGAAGACCACAGTTACGAAGTAATTTTGATCAACCTGATGAAAGACATAATAAACATATGTTTATAAAAAAAAACAGCAATTGGTGTGAATTGATCTAAACAAGTTTAATCCTAGTAAAGAATTAAAGTAAACAATATTTTCTTTACAAGAATATGGTAGCAAACAATATTCGGAATTAAATATGTAAAAAAAAGCTTTTTTAATTGGTTGAAATCATTTCAATAATCAAAAGTGTTACTTTTATAAGACATAAACAACAAAACCCATAGGAAATAAATAAATTAATCACTTCACTTAAAAAAAAATAGCGAAAACATAAGAGTACATACGAATCTGCGAACTGAAGGAGACAACTTGACTTTTTTAGTCAAAGTCAATAGTCAAGTTGTGATTTGGACTGTTAGATTTCTTTGATACGCTTCCCACTGCCTATTTCTTCAAAGTTCAAGTATTAAGAACGTGGTTGTTGATTAAACTAAATTTTCTTGAAAAGAAAAAAAAAAAGAAGTTTTTTCCAAGTTTAAATTAATTACTAATCAATGTAACATAACAAAATACGTCTGATTTTGCAATTTTTTTTGGATATCACATATGTCTCGTGAGTTATTAAAATTATAATACTTGATTGAGTTTGGAAGTAGTAATAGATTAAATTTATTACTAACATTTGTTAAAGTAGAAAATGATTATCAGTATGTAAAAATTTCGTTTTCTATATCTGTTTTATGTTTATGCTTTCATGCAGCGTCTTATTTTTCATATTTATACATTAATGCATTATAATTAAACAAGTGGGAAAAAAAAAAATCTGGACAAAATTAAAACTCGTTCTCGACAAATGGATTTTCCCAGAAACTAAAGCATTATTCTTTTCCTTTTTGTTAAAAAGATTTAATATTTTAAAGCAATATTTTATCTCGTATGATATTAATTGATTTTAGAATGAAAATAAATGTCTTGAAACTTTTATTTTAAGAAAGAGAACAAGCTTTTTCGTTATAAAATTATGATCAAATACACATAGGAAGACTAAATCTTAATGGTTTTCAGGAACAAAAATATGCTACTTAATTTCCACAAACGATATTTGACGTTATTTGTACAGGAGACTTTGAGTTACGAAATAAACAAAAATATTTTCGCGTAAACATAACTTTTTTTCGACGGATTCGAATCTGTATCTTGAAATATGTTGGCAACTAAAATCTGGAAGAGATGGTCTCAATAGTTAAGACAGAAGTGAGGTCGTAAGTTGGTGCCTTTTAACGTTAAATTCAGTTTTTGTGTATTTCGCAATATCTTCAAAACAAATTAATCTGATCAAGAAATTTTTACATGCAGTTATAAAACTTGTTTAGCAAAAAATAATTTTTTTTTACTCAAAATGAATAAATAAATTTTTATACTTATGTATTATTTTTTATTATTTCATTTACGAATGGTAAAAATTTTTTTTTATTGTGAAGTATGGCATTTTTTTAGCAACTTTAATCAACGTAACTTTAAATGTCAAAATTCGAAGAGAATTGATCGAATAGTTGAGAAATAAAAATTTAAAAATACGATTACTTTGAGATTAGTGCTCGACTTCGCGTGCAGGTCGTCGGGCTACCGAAGCGGGGCTGCCACCCCCTCAGTAGATGATCAAAATTGTGATGGCATGTCTTCGGATCATCCTCAGGGATGTTTCTCAGACCGTCTCCAATAGCCCATTGTGCAGCTCTGGTGCGACGTAAATGAACTACTACAAGTACTTTGAGATTACTTTATTGTTTTTTAGTCCCGCAGTGGACTGATCGTTAAGACACGGTTCCCAGCAGATCACCGAAGTCAAGCATCACTGGCTACGGTCAGTGTGCGGGTGGGTGACCACTTGGATCAGTCTGCGTAGGGACCGAGGGTGTGCGGTATTGGTCCTCGTTAAACTGTGCTACCGTAAAGTGCTCGACTTCGCGCGCAGGTCGTCGGGCTACCGAAGCGGGGGTGCCATCCCCTCCGCAGAGGATCAAAATTGTGATGGCATGTCTTCGGATCATCCTCCGGGATGTTTCCCAGACCGTCGCCAATAGCCCATTGTGCAGCTCTAGTGCGACGTAAATTAACAACAATAACAATATTGTTTTTTAGGTTTTAGATATTAATATAAACTACCCTTATTCATTTCTAGCATAAATTATATAAGTACAATTTAATTTTAATTAACTGTTGTAATTAAATTTTTTAGATTTCAGTTAAGCGTATTTGTTTAGCAAGGAAGCTCTTTCCGCGACCTTGGGGCATGAACCCGCAACCCTTACTATCGCAGCTATACTCACTTAAAACTTTTAGTCTTTAGTTGATCACGGCTTTACTCAATCCCATGCTTTAAAAAATTATCCCTAACATGTTTTTATGCCCTATGACTAACCTGTGTGCTGAATGCATAGTTATAAGTTTTTGTCTGATTTAAATAAAGCAAGATGCGGTTTTAGAATGCCGTCAATTTTCTACGGATGTTTTAACTTCTATTGAACTAGATTTGACTTATTTAGTTATGTGAAGAAAATAATACTAATTTTTTTCTAGATAATAGCATTAATCAATGAGAATGCGGGATTGCAAATATTGATAGCACTTCACTATCAGTAATGTTCAATTAGAAGGTTTAAGATAATTTTAGAACTGGTGAATAATTTGATTCTAAAAGAAGACCAGCAAAAAAGGTATTTTTTTCCATTCTTACTCATCTCTAAAAAGTTAGCTAAAAATAGGAGTTCATTATGATGAGTTTATCTTTTATACTTTCTTGTTTAAAATGAATAAATCAAAGTTCAATTTATTTATGACAGGATAGTATTAGCTACTATATTATTAGATTTCAAACAATAACCTTATCTTTAACTGATTTTGAGCTTTATTTTTGTTGTACTCTAAACTGGGTTTTGTTTTTCTTTTTTTGTCACTGTGTTTTTGTTGGGTATGATTTAACTATGAATTTTTTTTTTGAAATAAAGATAATTTGTTTCTCTAAAGGAACAAAAAACTTTCTAACATAGGAGATATGTTTATAAAATGCTTGCCACATAATTATGTAAATAGTAACTTCTCATGTAAATAATAACTGCTTAAAGTTTCTGTATTAAAAAGAGAAATGTTAAATCCTAATGTAAACATAATTAGATCCTTATTCTGTTTACTAATAAAAGAACTTTCTACTGTGATTAATTAAAATTTCTTCTGTCCGACAAATCCGTTGCTTAGGATTCGAAAAGGGAAAAATCAAAGAAATCCATCAAAATAGTCACCGTTTTATATATTTTTTGATCAGTAAATTATTAACTAAATTTCTTTGAACACCGCTGTGTCTTATTTGTCTTGACTTACCTATATATGTAATGGGACTTGCATGGAACTCAAATTGCATGCATGAAAGAATGATAGTTATCGCTTGAAACATAATTATAAATTAATAAACCATGTTTGTCATATCGCTGATTCGAAACTAAAACGACACTTCTGCACTCACTTCTCATGTTATTTCAATGAGAAGTGAATGCAGAAGTGTCGTTTTAGTTTTGAACCAGAGATATGCTGATGGACAGAATACACTTTTCTGTTAAAGACCGTATTTAGCTCTATACTTAAATAAACTGGTTTAACATGCTGTTACTCTTTCTTGGTTTCTTTATGTCGCACTACAATACTAATGGGTTATTGGCGACAGTTTCGGAATCATCCTTAATGATGAGCAAAAGACAATACTGGCGAATGTGCGCATTACTATATCTAACTTAGATTAGAGGGTAGATAATCTCGGTAATCCCAGTCTCCGCATCTCACTTCCCAACCACCAAATACTGGGTTACTTGGCTATCACTGACATAAATTGTTATTAGTCGTAATTTAAAAACATTTTTTTCTTTCTCACTTAAATACTAATTTGTGATACTTTATGTGCACAGTTTTTTCACTACAATTTTTAGAAGGTTTCTAAAAATATATTTGTAGGGTGCTTTTTAAGGAATTTTCTGTAAATTTACTGAAATTTTTTATGCATCATAGAGGTTAAAATTCTTAAATTCCATAATTTAAATTTGTTGAACCAAGAATCAAATATTAAAACATAACTTTTGCAATCTCTGTTGCTATGAAAACTCCGTTGAAGTATAATTGGACCGATGGCTAAATTTGAAAGTTTACTCTTTGCATAACAAAAAACCTGAAACTGTTCTTTAAAATATATTAATTCCAAAAATGTCAAATACTTATACGTATGTATTTAATATTAGCAAGCGATTTTAATTACTACAAGAACTTTTGTTTGTTTTAGACGTTGGCGGAATAAAGCATAGTAAAGTCGTCTCTTTTATCGTTTGCGGTCGACATTAGTCTCAGCCATCAATTAAATAACAAAATAAGACCGCAAAGGATTAAAAAAAAAAAAAAAACTAATAGTAGTAGATTAATAAAACTCTTCAAAAACTTCGAAAAATAAACATTGAATAATGACAAAAGCTTTTCATCTTGATTCTTATAACAAAAGAAATTTATTCTTAAATCTAAGCAAAATTTTTAAGAATGTATTTTATTGATTTTCGTGTAGCGGTCCTCTACGTATTTGTAATTGTCTTAGTCTTTGATCTTGTTTTTTTCCTTAAATATGTTTTATTTAATGTTTATTTTATTACATTTGACTTAAATTAATCGAATATTTGCTATCGAGTTTTGACTTATTAAAATACTGAGATCTTAATACTTTGGTATTATAGAAAAATACTTTTCAAGTTTTTCTTGCCTCTCTCCTGTTTCAAACGAAATATGAACCTTAATTTATTTATTTGCTAATTATTATTGTTATTTTTTTGGATCAAATATAATACGAGAAAATAGTTTCAAACGTGAAGAAATTCGTATTTCGTATTGTATTCCCATTTTATTTTACGAATAAACAAATCCCAGTTATCGTTGTAATGGTTTTATATTTTTTCATAAATGAACTAATTCCTTTACCTTTTGACACGATTTTTTAAATTTTTGCATAAATAAATTACGCATATTTCTTTTTGTGAACTTTGTTGAAACAGTGTTTAAGACATTGAGTTGCAATTGTGAATGACTGGGGTTCTATCTCTGGGGGTGGTTTGAAGTTCTCCCACCTTCAGATCGATGCGTACTAGTTTATCTGAAAGGTGAAGCTGGCTGATGCGCAATCCTGAGAACATTGTCCCCAACATACCGTTGGTCTCAAAATTGCAAGACTTTGACCTCCATTAACAATAAAGTAAATATTGTAGTAAAGCGGGTACTCCTTTTCCAACTCTTAATCCATGAGAGCATGGCCGACATGGTTATTGCAGAAGTGCTTTTTTCATTGTAATAATTATCTTACCAGGAAATTACCAGGAAAAAAATAGGCTTACCTTCCTTTTATGTCTACCAATCTCAAAATGAAAGGTTTGTTAGCATATAAACCACAATTCTAAGATTTCGCAGTTGATAAAGGTGTTTAATTGAGTCATGGTGGCTTAGGGGACAGAGTGTTTGTCTTCCAATGAGGTGAACCGGGTTTGAATCCGAGTGATGGCTGGTTGCTACGAATTCCGCACCTGGCTCGCACTGACCACAGTGCTGACGTGAAATATCCTAAGTGGTAGACGGATCATGGGTTACAGTCCCCTTGAAGTCAGATTGACGGTGGGAAGTTAGACTGAGGAGCATAGGAGGGTTATGGTTTTTCACTCCATGTAACGCAAATGCGGGTTAGTTTAATCAAAAAATTCTCCATGAAGGCAAATTTCTCCCAATACCTGATGTAGAAGATCTCTTTTCTTCTGAATTGAGTTCAAAATTACAAGGCTATGTAGTTGAACAATTGGGGTTGGCGACGGGTATAAAAAGGATTTTAATTTAAGATTCCTTCAAAAGAAAAATGAATTCAGGAGTATCAAATAAATTAATAGCAATAAAATAATCAGATATTACTCCTGGAAGATTTATAATATTTTTCAAAGTTGTTTTATTACATTTGGTTTGCATTAGTCTAAAATTTGCTATCTAAATCCGAACTATTACAATATTATAGAATCCGAACTATTACAATAGTGCAATTCATACAACTAACAAGTTAAACACAAACATATAATGATTGCTTAAAATTTTTACTTTTCTTACATTGGGATCTGTATTTTACTTTTATATTTTGCAAAGGGAGCGCACAAGCAGATATTTAGAATTTGGATAGCCATCTTTAAAGAATATTCCACGGCTTATTATAATGTTTCCCCCCCTTTTCCCAACATAAATACTACTTCTAATCCTAACAATTTTCTCATTTTTCATAAACTAATTACATTTCTTATTGCAATGATTTTTCTTTAATTCCCATTAACAAAAAATATTGATTTATGATTTTTGTTAAAGTAAAAAGAAACCATCTTCCAGTGTTTTTAACAAAACTCCAAACTAAATTTTTTAAAGGTTTATTAATTAATTGAAAATGATCTCAAAACGAAAAAGGAAATTAAATCTCCATCGACTTAGTACTATATAGAAGCCAATATAATACGAATTTTCTATTGATGTGTATAAAGATCATTTTCTCGATATTTGTAAAAGTTTTATTTTATGAGATTTCCCGAAATTATTTTATTACATTTGATTTGCATTGATTTAATATTTACCGTCAAACTCCAAGCCTAACCGTTGTAAGTTCTTGTGTTCTTCCTCTCCATGTAACGCAAATGCGGGTCAGTTCCATCAAAAAAAGTACTCCACGAAGGCAAATTTCTCTCAATACTCGATCGAGGAGTTCCCTGGTCTTCTGGATGGGGTTCAAAATTGAAAGGCTACGGAGTTGAACATTAGTAGTCGTAAACCCAAAAATTGGGTCGCCTGTTCAACGACAGTTATAAAATAGAAATAAAAATAACCTCTAAAAGGCATTTTTTCATGAAAGGTTTGCTTATTATATAATTGAAAATTATTTCAAATTAAAAAACGGAAACTAAATCTCCATCAAATTAGCACGGTAATAGAAGCAATCATAAAACACCAACAATCAACTGAGGTGTATCAAGACCGGTTTCTCGGTATTTGTAAAACTATTATTTTATGATATTTCTCAAAGTTGTTTTACGACATTCAATTTGCATTGATCTAATATTTACTATCAAATTCCTAAATCCATTACAACAATATTTAATCATTGGCTATTAATTCCATCTACAAACCTAAAATGATCATTCCAAAATCCATACTCCTCGTAAACTGAAACCTGTATTTTATCTTAATTAATACGTTACTAAGGGCACGCAACTGTATATTTCTGGGTAGTGATCTTTAAGCAGCTGTCTCAACAATCATTAAAGCATAACGGTGAACACAGCTTCCTGGACAAGCACTTTATCGTGTCCGGTCTTTAAGTGATGTTCAATTTGCTTTCTGGTGGTGATTTTAAAACAAACGGATCTCCGGTGATGAGTGGATAGCATGGAAAATGTGGAGATTATCAGAAGTTGTTGTTGCGCGCAATGAGGGTGGTCATTTCGAAAGGTCTTGCTGGTAATTGGACTGTTATGGACGACAGAAACTATTTTGTTTGCTGTGGAAACAGGTTTCGAATGGTAATATTAGCTAGTTTGTTTACACTGTTAAGAATTTTAATATTTTAATGCATTTTGTCTCGAAATGTGTCTAGTTTTGAAAGAGAATAGAATTATTTTCG